TTTTTTTTTTTGTTACTCTGTCTTTCCACTTTCTCCTCTATACAATAAGAAGTGCATATTTATTTATTTCAAAATTATTTCGTTATTCATTTCTACACACGTTCGTTTTGGGGAGGTCTGCAACCATTTTGTGAAATAGGCTTCAAGGTTCTTTATTTTCGGGGTGTTTACGATACTTGGGCTCTAGGCCGACATTGAGACTGAGAGACGAAAGCTAGGGGAGCAATTGAGATTAGATACTCCAGTAGTCCTAGCTGTCAACAAGTTTGCAAAGAAATAAAAAAAAATGATGGGAAAGTTCCTAATAAATCCCCAAACCAATAATTGAATTCTTCCTCAGTCCCTACATAAATATTTTTCCTCCTAACTCCCTACCCCCTTAATCAAATTCTTTTTAACTCCCTACTAAAAAAATAAGTCAAAAATTAAACTAATTATTACATCACCCCACTAGATAAGCCTTACATCTTATTTTATTATTACTTTTATCTCCTATCTACCAAATGCATAATATTATTTTATTGCATCTTCTTCTTCCCCAATAAACCAACTCCCTCTTCTCTCCCATCTCCCTCCCGTCTCCTCTCGGCAGCTGTTTATTTTATTTTATTTTTTTGCAGGTTGGTCTCTCCGGCGACACGAAATCCGACGGGAAGAAATCTTGAAGCAACAAATCCGGTCAAACAAGTGATTCCGACGTCACAAATCCAGTGAAAATTTTAATCTTTTTACGGCAACATTAGTGGTTTTTCCGGCCAAAATTTGAAGTAATAAGTATTATATGAGGATCTTGGAGTCTAAAAATCATGTGCAATTTATATATTTTTGGTTAATTTGTTAAGGATTGAATTTGGAATATTGTTGTTAATATTACCATAAATCTTAGCCTAAAAATTTAAATTGATCATTCTTGTTCATATATACGAAATTGATGCTATTGTTAGGTTATGTAATGTTTTTCACCCTAAAACAAGAAAATAATGTGAGAATGATCATTATACCACTATTCTTGATTATTGTACCTCTGTTTGTATGTATATAGTACCACTTTAATACTGTTTAGCACCATATTTTTCTGGGACTGTGAAGTTTTACTTTTTTATTTACCAATTATTGTTAGATACATGGAAGGGGCACAAAGTGATCTACTAGGGAGTTGTACGTACAAGAATGAATTGTTTGTGTTCTCTATGCACATTGGATTAACATTTGACGAAGTGCACACTCTCATATCTAAGAGGTGGCCGAACGTTAATTTCGAATCCGTCGTGCTTTGCTATATTGCGACAAAGGAAAAAAAAAAGAGAGAGTTAGTTTGTTGGATGATGAGGATGTGAAGAACATGATTCAGTTACATGTTAGTTGGAAAGTGAATATTATAGAGATGCTTTTGAAATTACATTTGTTATAGAATAATTTATGTTGTATACATATTTTTGAAATTATTTTTTATTTAATAAATATAGTGTTATTTATAATGATAGATGTAATTATTTTTTATTTTATATATGCAATATGGATGTCAAACCGAAAATCATTAAAATATTATTATTTTGGGATATAACATACAAAAAATAAAATTAAAATAAGAATTATAAAGATTTAAAAATAAAAATAATAAATATTTATAATAAAAATTATTTTATGAATTAAATAAGAGTAAGAGTAGTATATGATAGTTTGAGAAGAAAAAAAAACATAAAAGAATTTATGGTAATTCTCAAGCCTAAAACCAAACATGTATATGTGTCAATACAAAGCATACAATTAATTGTGGTTTTTATATTGAAACTAAAAGACAAATTTGTTTCCATAAAATGAAAATTACCTAAAGATAAGCGAATCAATTGCATCTCAATTACATCGACCCTTAGCCTGTTGTTTGGCAAAAAAGACTCCCATGAGTTGTTTATAATGGGTCAAACTATCCCCTGGGAAAGGGATTTCGAAACTAAACCTCTTTTGAGTTTATGACCACTTGTCAAGGAAACCTAATTAAACACATTCAAATACTAATAGAAACTAATGTATAAGTGATTTGAGTAATATAAATATCATTTAAGACGAAATTCAATGTGTTTTTTTATGTTCGTGGGAATTAGTACTGGAAGCGTAATATCATGTACTAAACTATCATTTAATGGATATTGTCTAACTCTAGGAGTGATAATAGGTCATATAAATATCATTTGAGACCAAATTCAGTGTTTTTTTATGTTCGTCGAGTTGGTACTAATGACCCAATATAAGACACTAAAATTGAAGTAATCCATTTTCGTTGACCAAAAGTAGGTACTAATTGATTAAAAACAAGTATTACGCAGAAAAAGAAGTGGTACTATTCTTTCAAAACTGGTACCGTATTAGTAATCGTGATTTCTTTAATCCTTGCCACGTGGATTGTTCACGCGTGATTTGGTTGAGAAATATTTGAAGTTAAAACATATAGGTAGAACTTAGAGTAGTCAGTATGATCATTCAATGAGATGAAGTGTGTCTTTTAATAAGATGAAGTGTATGAGTAGTGTTTTTTCATTAGTACGTTGAGTTCGTGACCAATTTACGATTAAACTTAATTAAACGCATTTTAAATCTCACAGAAACTAATGTGAGAGTGATAATGGGTCATAT